AAGAAGAAGCATTTTCTGAGCACCCACTGTGTGCACTTTTCTCTTGAGACTGTACCAACTGTGTACTACAACAGCAAGGGAAAAATTTTCCTGATCTGCAGCTTACAGGTTAGTGGGACAACAGTATCACAGGCATTAACACCTAAAGATAGTGGAATCGAGCACATGATGATGTTTATGTAAATGTGTCCCAGGTGTCTCAAACCATATATCCTTTAGGAAGAAAGGCCCCTGGGGGCAGGTGTCATGAGAGGTGACCCACCAAACATAACAGGGAAGAAAGAGGAAGACACTCCAGGTGGCTGGGGTGAGAGGCAGTGCAAGGACAGCCAAACTAGTCCAGTGATGGGGAGCAGATGTTTCTGGCTGGAGAGGGGCATTCAACAGGCCTCCCCCTGGGGACAGAGGTGTCCAGGAGATGGAGGACTGTGGTAGAGTTCTCTAGCTCTGAGAAAGAAGACCCAAAGCCAAAGACCCTGACCTTAAGGAACACCTTGCTCCTACCTGAGGAGGAGGAGGGAAGGCACACGAGACATCTCCAGGTGGCACTGCCTCCCTCCAGTTTGGCTGAGGTGATTGAGGGTGCTGGCTCATTCAGACATTTCAAAAAGGTGTACTCACCTTGGTTTCTTCTTCCAGTTGCCTCTTCACCTCCTCTAGCTGCTGGGTGAGGGCCTGCTTGCTTTTGGTCAGCTGTGAAATCAGAGACTCCTTCTCTTCCATTTGGTGGCTCAGCTCCCCTACCAAGCACAGGAAGCCCCGCGTGGGCATTGGCCATCACCCTCCCACACGGCCCAGCAGACCCCGAGCACTGCCCGGCCTCACCATTTTGGGTCTGCAACCTTGCCTTCTGCATGTTGAGGTCGTGGATCAACTGGGTCTGCTGGTCATCCTTGGCTTTGATTTCATTAAATTGATCCTCCACGGACCGGCATATTCTTTCCACATTACTCTGAAAACAAACAAGATCAATGTGAATGGAGGAAACGGGTTCCTGCTGACCAATATTGAACTGCACAGTTTGATAGTTTGGCTTCTTGTTAGGTAAAATAAAAATATGGAATACAGAAAAGCGCTTTAAGGGCTGGGGAGATAGCTCGGCAGTCTAAGCGCCTGCCTGGCAAGCGCAAGGACAGGGATTCAATCCCCGATACCATATGCCATGCTGGCTCGGGAACCCCGAGTGTGCTGAGCTGGCCACCAAGACCAGGTGTGGTGATGCATGCCTGTAATCCCAGCGCTAGGGAAGCTGAGACAGGAGGATCACTGTGAGTCCGAGCTGTGTAGCTAGACCTTTTACCAAATAAATAAATCTTAAAAATAAAGTGCTGTTTTAAAATGATAATCATTTCAGATTTGCCTTGTTTTTATTCGTTATCCTTGCTTAGTCATCAATTTGGAGCATCAGCTTTCGGGGGGGGTCAGTATTCAATAATTTTGAAACATCATCTGAGAAGATGCCTCACAAAGGAACCCTGCAGAAATACAAGCATTTCTGTTGCCAGGTGGATAATATTTTCAAGCAGTGCAGTCAGGAGACAAGAGTGAACATTTCATTCTATAATACAAATGGCTCCCTCTGAGGACGGGGTACGGGGGGAGTCACTATCCCAGCCTGTAGCCGGCCCATATTTTCATGAGATTTATTTAAAGCATTCTGTATGTTGCTGGCTTCTGCCCTCCTCCCACCCAAGAGCATGAAGAATAAAATGAGTATATGCTCTTCCTTAACCTGGGGAGCCTGACGCGGCCTAAGGAGGAGAGGAGATATTAGATCCAGAGGGAGTCCTCAAGGAGCTCAAGGTGTGTTCAAGAAGATGGCACACATGTGTAAGGGTTCCAGCAGGGGACTCAAAAGAGGCTCAGAGACCCCCAAGGAGTGAAATCAAAGGCTATAATAACAAAGAAATACAGAGCAATAGGAAGTGCTCTTTCTCTGGATTTTAAAATTGAGAATAGAGAGCAGAAAGCTATTCTGGAGGCAGGGAAGCTGTAAGGAAGGGCTGATTATGGACAGCATGTGGGTGATGCTGGAGTGTCCTCTAAACCAGCCAACCATGCAACCCAGCGTGGTTTGGGGAGAGGAGACAGATGGAGGCAGAGACAGAGACAGATAGAGACAGGGAGAGAGAGACAGGGAGAGAGACACAGATTGAGATAGAGAGAGAGAGAGAGACAGAGACAGGGAGAGAGACAGGGAGAGAGACACAGACTGAGATAGAGAGAGAGAGACAGAGACAGAGACAGGGAGAGAGACAGGGAGAGAGACACAGAAAGACTGGGATAGAGAGACAGAGACAGAGACAGGGAGAGAGAGACAAAGAGAAAGACACAGAAAGACTGAGATAGAGAGACAGAGACAGAGACAGAGACAGAGACAGGGAGAGAGAGACACAGAAAGACTGAGATAGAGAGACAGAGACAGACAGAGAGACAGAGAAAGACAAAGAGTGAGAGAGACAGAGACACAGACAAATGGAGGCAGAGAGAGACAAAGAGAGACAGGGAGAGAGAGAGACAAAGAGAGAGACAGAGAGAGAGACAAAGAGAGAGACACAGACTGAGATAGAGAGACAGAGACAGACAGACAGAGAGACAGAAAAGGACAAAGAATGAGAGACACAGAGACAGAGACAGAGACAGAGATAGAGACAGGGAGAGAGAGACACAGAAAGACTGGGATAGAGAGACAGAGACAGACAGAGAGACAGAGAAGGACAAAGAGTGAGAGACACAGAGACAGAGACAGATAGAGACATAGAGAGAAAGACAGATACAGAGACAAAGAGAAAGACAGAGTCTGAGGCATACAGAGAGAGATAGAGACAGAGAGATAGAGACAGAGACAAAGAGAGACAGAGACAGACAGCGACACAAAGAGCAAGAGAAAGACAGATACAGAGAGACAGAGACAAAGAAAGAGACAGAGAAAGACACAGAGAGAGAGACAGAGACAGAGGCAGAGAGAAACAAAGGACAGAGATAAACAGAGGCACAGAGAGACAGACACAGAGAGACATAGAAACAAAGAGATACAAAGAAAGACAAAGAGACAGAGACAGACAGACACAGAGACAAAGAGAAAGAGAGACAGAGAGAGACAGAGAGAGAGGGAGACAGAGACAGGCAGGCAGGCAGGCAGAGACAGAGAGAGGAAGGAAGTGAGCCAGTTAGTGCAGTCAGGGAGCGCCAGTGTTTGGATGCACTCTTGAGCAGGAAGCTTGATCCCAGTGTGGCAGTACAGGGAAGTAGTGGGAGTTTCAAGAGGTGGGGTCTAGTGAGAGGCGGTCAAGTAATCGGGCTCCACCTTTAGGAAGGATTAATGCTGGACTCATAAGACTTAATTTCCTCCATCTCTTCTCCATGTGTTCCTGCCACCGTGATGCCATTCGCCATGGGGCTTTTACCAGAGCTAAGGAGATGCCAGTCCCAGGCCCTTGAACCTCCAAAACCAAGAGTTAAGTAAAACTTCTTTTCTTCACTAAGCACTCAGTCACAGGTATTTTGCTATAGCAGTAGAAAATGAGTTAAGACAGGGATTAAGAGAAAGCCTAGAACAATGTGAAGTGGATGTTGCACAAGGACAGAAAGAGGCCCCACGGAGAATCTCACCCTCTGCAGACAGGTGAGAGAGTGTCTTTTCTCACCCTATCTCCTTTCCTCTTCTTGGCAAACATCTAACCCTCTGGGATCCCTCTGTGGGAAACCTACAGTGCCACATCTGGGGCCACTGCTACTTCGTCCAGCCCTGCCAAACAGCTTGAAGTACAGCTCAGTTCACCTGGAAGGAGGGCATCTCTTAAATCTCGGAGCACAGAGCTGCTGCCAGAGCAAAGCCTGGCATTTAGTTAGACACAGGGGTGTTTTCACCCCTAAACTGGTAAAGTGGGATTCAGGGCCTTTGCCTGCTGGGGCCACAGAGAGTTTGGGGACTGTCACGAACAGATTATATTTTCTAGGTAGGCATTTCTGGCAAAGGCCTAAAGAGACCTCAAAAGAAAGGAGCATGATTTGTCATTCAGAGTGAATCTCAAGGTTCACACCTAATTTGCATAATTTTGTATGCAGTTTAGATCTCAGTCTCTGCAGGTTCCACATTCTCAGGGTCAACAGATGGAAAACATTTTCAATCAAAGTACTAACCAGGCCTGACTCTGATTAGTTTCTGAGATCAGACAAGATTGGGAGTATTCAGAGTGGTATGGCTGCAGATAATTTTGTAGTGGAAAAAATACATATATATCTTTGTATACAAAATAGATACACAGATACTTTCTCTTAATTCAATGAGAAGAAAGATTTGTATTTGGACAGGATATCATGTCTGCATCTTGTACTATAAATAACTACTACGACGACAACAATATGCAATGTATTAATTATTGTAACTGTCTTACTAACCTGTTTTGAAATTGTCTCATTGCTATTTCTTTCTCATTACAATTAATATAAAAATTCAATGAATAAGAAGATTTGTTCTAATAGTATTTGTGGATGGGATGTCATGTCTGCATCTTGCACGATGAATAACCACTAAGACAACAATGTGCAATGTATTAATTATTGAAATTGTCCTACTGATCAGTTTTGAAACTGTCTCATTGCTATTTGTTTCTCAATAAAATCATTTTCTAAAAAAATTAATATAAAAAAGAGCTACTGTCAGATTCTGGACAATTTCCTAATTTAAAAAACAAAGAAAAAAAAAAACAAGAAAGTCTTCAGAAATTGGGTCTGTGCTGAACACGAACTTTGTTCCATCATTATACCTTGAACAATATAGTATGATAATTATCTATGTAGTATTTGCATTGTGTTAGGTATTATAAGTAGCCTAGATAGAGATGCTTAAAAACTTTCAAGAGGATGTATGCAGGTTTTATGCAAATACCGCTTTTTTTTTTCTTTTTGAGATAGAGTCTCACTCTGTAGCCCTGGCTGGCCTCAAACTCATGGCAGTTCTCCTGCCTCAGCCTCCCAAGTCCTGGGATTGTAGGTGTGTATCACCACGTGCACCTGCACCATTTTATATAAAGGATTGAGCATCCATAGATTTCGGTGTCTATGATGGTCTTAAAATTAACCTCCACAACTGTACCACTTCTCGTATTTCTTATTTCTTCTCCCTTTCCTTCTCCATCTCCTGTCCCCCTCCTTCTCCTTGTCTTCCTCCTCCTCTCAGTCTCTGTCTCTGTCCCGTTGCTTCTCTTTCCTCTCAGTACTGAGCATCGAACCCAGGGCCTTTGCCATGCACCGTATCCCAGTCGTGTTACTTTTTTGTTTTGGGGATTCAAGTGAAGGCCTTTGTGCCTAGCTACATCCCCAGGCTCTATCCCTTTTGTTGTTGTTGGTAAACTTTGAGACGGGGTCTTGCTAAAGTATCCAGGCTGGGCTCAACCTGGCATCCTCCTGCCTCAGTCTCCCAGAGTGCTGCAAATACAGGTGTGCGTCACAAGGCACCACAACTCCACGCTTCCTTTAAGGACTCTAACCCTCCCAAAGTTGCAGATGCTTCAAGTCCCGGATACACCTGCTCACATGCATCACTGCACACGAACTCTGCCTCCTAGAGACTGGGACTGAGGAGTGAGAGGGCGGGCGTGCAGAAAGCCGTCCCATGAAGGCCCTTTGGTGTGATTCCCCCATCCGTCTAGTTCTAAAGCATGTCAGACGGTGGGAAGGACAAAGCGATTTTGAGTAGTGGTGCAGCAACTCCACCAAGCTGCAGTGGTGCTGGGTCTGAATGCCCCCACCCCGACACACACACACACATAAGTTCAAACTCAATCCCCAGGGCAGTGCTGTTGGGAGGAGGCTCGGCCACAAGGACTGGTGCCTTTACATGACTGGTGTCGTCTTTATCAAAGAGGTTGCAGCGAGCTCCCTTGCACCTGCTGCTGTGCGAGGACTCAGCAGGAAGGTGCCACCCATGCCATGTAGTGAGCCTCAGCAGATGCTGAACCTGTTGGCACAGTGGTCTTGGCCTTCCCAGGGCTCAGAGCTATGAGCAATAAATGTCGGTTGCTTATAAATTACTCAATGTAGTAGCTGCATCTACCCCACTACATAAACGACACCTGATTTGAGTGAAAATGAGGACAGGGTTTTGGTTTAGAACAGTGGGGTCGAGTAGTGAAGGTGAGCATCTTAGAAGCTGAGCGCCCAAGCTGTGCCCCAAGCCCACTTACTCATCACAAAGTGCCAAGACTGCAGTGAGACCGGAATGCTTGGCTGCTGGGGCAGTGCTCAGGGACTTGAAAGGCTCTGCAAGCCTGCTGCGGCACAGATCCTATGTATACCACCCCCCTGCGGCACATGCAAGGGGTTTCTCATGGGACAGGAGGACAGGCGGTCTCACTTGGTGCCAGGACCAGAGGGCATCAGATACCTTGGACTTCGAGACTGTCTCGATATTGCTGGCCATGTCGTCGATCTCCATCTTCAGCTCGCTCTTCTCCTTCTCCAGCTTCTGCTTGACCCGCTGCAGATTGTCAATCTGCTCCCCGAGCTCAGCCACAGTATCTGCGTGCTTCTTCCTCAGGGTGGCCGCCGTGGCTTCATGCTGCAGGGTTGCCTCCTCCAGGTCCCTGCGCAGTTTCTGGAACTCGGCCTCCCGCTTCTTGTTCAGCTCTATCTGGGCAGAAGTGGCCCCGCTGGTTTCTTCTAGCCGCTCACTGATCTCCTCCAGTTCCCGGGTCAGATCTGAGCGCTGCTTCTCAATCTTGGCTCTGAGTGTGTGCTCAGCTTCAATTTCTTCCTCCAGCTCTTCTGTACGGGCCTGAAAAAGTCACTGCATCAGGGTTGTCATCCAGAGAAGGAACCTATTTTAGGAGGGGCTGAGCAGTGAGGAATGGAGGTCCATGGCGCACAGCAAGGAATTACATTATAATAGGGAGAGAAACAAATACACTTGGAAATAACCTAAGTGTCTGTGAATAGGGGACCGTCAAATTCATTGTGATGGAGACTGTCTCTAGAAGTCATGAAGCCATTAGAAGCTGACTGATGCCTACTACAGACAGCTCTGTCCAGTGTGTTGGTAAACGAAAGAAGTTGCAAAACAGTACTCTTAGTGTGAAAGTATCTATGCTAAACATACAAAGAAACAAGCCATATATATTCTAAATATTTCTTTTGCTCCTAAATGTGTACATACAAGAAGATGCAGAGGACTCAAACTCAAACTGATTATTCCTTCTGAGAGCACTGGAAACATCCGGACTTAAGGACAATGATCAATGCATCAATAATATTCAGCCTGATTGGGAATAGCTTGACTCTATTTAAGCAAGTATGCTCATATGTTACTTAGAAAATTATGATATTAACCAAACATGGTCATGTGTGCTTGCAATCCCAGCTACTGGGGAGACTGAGGCCTGAGGGCAACTTCAGCAAGGCTCTGTCTCAAAATAAAATACTACAAAGGGGACCAGGGAGATAGCTCAGTAGAATAAGCACTTGCCAGGCAAGCGCAGGGTCCTGAGTTCAATCCCCAATACCGCAAAAAAAAAAAAAGTTACAAAGGGCTGGGATGTAGCTTAGCATTCTGTGAGTTCAATACCCGGGG